GCAATCCTCTGAGGATTGCCGTTTCACCTTTCCTCTAGAGGATTGACCCTAGCCATTTGTCTACCTGTGTATCAAAAGATACACTCTCGGCTCGTAGAATCCTGGACTGTGAGTAGAGATCTCCGGGGACGGACCCTTCGCCAGGCGCCGCCGAGAACAGAACTATGTATGGTGCTTTTCGTAAAGTGATCAGCCCAGGATTCGAACCTGTGCGTGTATCACTTGTTTGTAAAGGCTTACCCCATTAGACTACTCAGTCAGCGGATGACTCAGTACTGACTCAGAAGTCTAATGAGTAAGCTTTGTCTAAAAAAGGATACACGCACGGTTCGAATCCCGGGCTGATCACTTTACGAAAGCACCATAGTTCTGTTCTCGGCAGCGCCTGGCGAGGGGTCCGTGCCTGGAGATCTCTACTCACAGCCCGGGATTCTACGAGCCGAGAGTGTATCTTTTGGTAGATAAAGGCTTACCCATTAGACTACTCAGTCAGCGCTGACTGAGTAGTCTAATGGGTAAGCCTTTACTATGCTGACTGAGTAGTCCAGTGGATAAGCCTTTACTATCAAAGGGTTCACGCACAGGTTCGAATCCCGGGCTGATCACACCGGTCGCCCCGGTGGTCTAGTGGGTAGCTTCGCAGCTTGCTAAGGGCCAGGTCATGGGTTCGAGTCCCGGCAGAGAGAGTTTTTTTCTCACTAAATAAATCCTGGTCTAGGATGAAAGCGACGCGCTGCAGAGCTCGTTTGTTAGTAAACCATAATCGACTTCGTAAGTCGCGAGGGAAGGGATTNTCCCATCATTGGACTCGGTCGTCTAGCTAGTAGAAGTGGAGGATAGGGGCCAGAGGGGCAGACGACAGAGTCCAATGATGGGAGAAAAAAAAAAAAAAAACTCTACTGAAAGCACCATAGTTCTGTTCTGGGCAGCACCTGGCGAGGGGTCAGTCCCCGGAGATCTCTACTCACAGCCCGGGATTCTACGAGCCGAGAGTGTATCTTTTGGTAGATAAAGGCTTACCCATTAGACCACTCAGTCAGCATAGAAAAGGCTCACCCATTAGACTACTTAGTCAGCGCTGACTGAGTAGTCTAATGGGTGAGCCTTTTCTATGCTGACTGAGTGGTCTAATGGGTAAGCCTTTATCTATCACCGATCTAAAAAGTATCACACAACAAATCGATCTCCATCTGATGTATGTATTGAAATATGTTTAAGATAGATTAGCAATGAATCCATAGCGTGAGCGACAAGCTACCTGTATGTGTGTCTACGGTTTCCCAGACAGGATACAACGATATCTCCCCTGTGGGTAACAGGCTCAACAAGGCAGTTTGGTAGCCATCTTGTGTACCTATCTGTATGTTATGTTGGGAAGTTGTAGACGGAAGATTTAGGGGAACTCGGTTTGTCGGGTGTTGTTATGTGGTTGCGGAGCAAGCGCGTCTCGTGGTGTGTATATTTTCGTCATCAACTTATTTTTGGTGTGATGTATGGGGGCATGTGCGGCGCGGGAGAACATATTTACCGTGTTGTGTAATGGCATGTCTTCTTTTCCCGAGTGGTTTGTACCCTACTTTTTTTTTCGTTTCCCCGCGGCGTCGTATGTGCCGGGTGTTGAGACCACGGGCTCCCCATTTTTTTTGTGGACAGTAGAGCGAATGTGAGAAACAACAACAAACAACAACGACTAGGAAATCTGCTGCTGCGAACTCCGTTTTACTTGACCTCCTGGTGTCCTGCAGCCCTACTCTCGATGCGTCTTGCTTCGCTGCCTCGTGTATGATGCTGCAGGCTCGCCCGTGCCCATTCTTCTTCCCGTTTACAGCCAGAGTCCGCACATTCAGGTTGTAAGTCAATCCTGCTGGTGATGATCGGGCGGTGCAGCTCTTTGCCAGTCTACGTTTCGCCCGTCCCCTCCTTTTCCTCCTTCGTGCCCTGTTTTGTGCGGACTCTCGGGCAAATAAATGTGTAACTTACCCCGACCGGTGCTTGTCTTTTGTTCCAGCGAGTTTACTTGTCCCGGACGGAGCGTTGCGGCCCTCCAGGACCTGGTCTTGACCCTCGCCTTTCCCCTCTCTGGTGCAAACCCCCACTGTGTACCCCGGTTTCTCTGTTGCTGCATGACGCCAGTTTCCAATCCGGGGCGTCTGGATTCAGTCTCATTTGCAGCTTACCCAAGTCCGCTAGGTCGTGAGCTATCCCGATCTTGCGAACATGTTATTCCCGGCCGCCAAACTCAAGTTTTCCTTCTGATCAGTGTTAGGGACTAACAGCATATTGGTGAAATTGAGAGCGATTTATCTGATTGAGAGAGAGATTGCGCGATGCGCTGCAGCTGGAATACTGCTCAGAGGTGGGGCTTGCTGAGTAGCTTGAGTTGAAGGGCCAGTCCGTAGCTACAAGCAGATGCCCTGGTCATCCTGTGGGAGTCTCTCGATGTGGAGTTACAGCGGCGAGCAGAAGCTACAGCAGATCCCACCGCCCGAGGCCACACCGCCCTGCAACAGTTTGAGGCAGGAATAGCCAATCTGGGGAAATTTAGCAACTTGTCTAGCTCCTAGCTGCAGCATCCGATGACGATGACACGCATGTGCTCGTGACGCTGCTGATGAGACCTTCAAATTGCGCCGCTTCTTGGAAGAGCCCGCCCCCTACTTCCCATGAAACGGCAAGAGGCGTCTGGACCCGAATTTTAATTTTTTTGGCTCTCTCTCAATTTGATGCTTCGCTCTCAATTTCACCGATATGTTGTTGACTGTGTCGGTCGTGTTGGGTGGTGTTTCGGGGTCAAAGTCCACTTGTGGACTTCGGCACACCCCAGGAGGGAGAGGGGCAGGCCGGGGAAGGTATTGGCTTGGAACTTCCGCCAAAGGAACTGAATCCCTCTCAGGCTTCAGAACTATGCCATGGGAAAAAGACACATACATACCGGGAACCCGCCTTGTTGCGCTTCATTTCTATCAAAGCTCTCCAAATCAAAGACTCCGTAGAATAGTGAAGAATCAACCAAGTGTAAACACTAGGCATCGAATATGCTTGTATCACATCGCACGTTCAAGTTTTCAAGGTGAATATTATCAGAGGAAATACTCCATCGTAGCCAAACGGAACGCGCTCACAGTAGTCTAGACCCTGACCGCGAGGACTACACTTAAATTTTGAAGGAATTGCCTTGTAAGAACATGAATGCTTCCACGTGAGCGAGCAATAGGCATCCATGCATACGTCCAGTTTACCCCAAAATAAAAGTGTGATGGAGGAGCAAAGGAAAAGGGGACAGCAGAAAGTCCGTTGCTCCTAGCTTGGGGTACTTTAAGTTGGTTGTTTCATCTCTTGTTGCCCTATTGAAAGCTGCTGGGTTCGTTTGGGGCTCACTCAGAGGGGAGGAGCGCGGATGGGATTTTGATTCTCCGTCAAGCTACCTCGATACCCTACAACGACGCCGGCTATCCGTGTCCACCGAGAATTCCAAGTATTACTCAGACATGAGAGAAAAACATTAGTGGCACGCAATTCGCTGATTGGTCAACGCCCCCTGCGGCGGAATTTCAAAAACAAACGGCAAAAAATAGGGCACGGTCGAAGATCCTTGGACGACGGGTGACGTCATCCACGGTGGATTCGAGGGCCGCACCCTGGGAGATCTTGGGAAAATCGCGTCTTCGGATTATGACCTCATCCTGGCTGACTACACTACAAGTTGCTCCACTTAGTAAGAACTTACCCTCGTTGTTTCTTTTCTCCACATTAAACTCGTGTCAGTTGCTAATCCCAAACACTATCAAAGACTCGGTCCGTGGTCATAAAAATGCTAGAGCCATGAGAAGATCTGAAGAACACACACACTTTTGGCTAGAAAAGGGTACACAAGCCCGAGGGGGTACACCTACAATCCCTGCAGCACTTTTTCGTTCTCACAACTGAACTACACGCCCACACACTGCAATTCGACTACAGCAGCATCACCCCCCTTGTCCCGCATTTCACCAAAATGAATGTTACTCGACCACAGCGTACCACTGTCTGAACAATAATAACACCATGGTGCATGGAACACAAGCTGGGAAGTCGTGGATCCAGATAGTACGTCATCTTCAAACCAAATACTCAGCACCGAATAAAAATCGATCATGCGACGTTCACAAGCACACAAAAAAAGCAACTTTACTGTGTATTGTCGGGAAGAGAACTGTAAGTTTTGAATACTTCCCCACACCACATGCTGAGTAGCACATCATCGCCGTACAAGGAAATAGCGGGAATCAAATCGTCTCGGCTTATCGCGAAAACGCCGATGTCCGGGTGACTACAAAAGTGTTGTTGCAAGTATTAAACGAGCCCGCACCTCTTGGAACATGCGCTAGCGTACCATGCGTACCATACATATATGGCACATAAACATGTAGCGGACCGTAGGTCGCAATATATCAACACACAGATCCGAATGGATGGGGCGACGGCCAGCCGCGCCACGACGCCTGGCGTCTGCGACGTGACGCCATCATCCGTTGAAGAGTCGGTCAAAACACGAGTGACTACGGTGTATCTGCAAGGATCCACAACCACAGCGAGCGTAGTAGTCTAAATATCCGAAGCGAGATCTACTTTCGAACAATGCAGTAGTTGCTCTATTGCATTGGCGGCGAAACCCTTACGAGCGGTAGACCAGCATCAACTCCCGAGTACCCCCGCACAACCCTTGGGCTCGGTACGACCAGGTTGTAGACTACATGAAGCTTCCGCTCGGGAAAACATCAATGGTGTAGTCTAGTAGGTCCATACCCAATATCATCCATACCAGGTCCATAGATTCCACACGCTAAATCGCGCTCTTCTCCTTCAGGCTAAGTCGCTCTTCATTCAATGGAAAAATGCATGATCACTCCAGACGCGCATCCTGCAGCCGCTTCCCTGAAGCAAGTCTTAAATCAATATAAACTACAGTACATGAGCAAGTGAAAAACAAACATTGTCGGAAACATTTTCGTCGATGTTGCCTACACTGGTTTTCCCGTCTCCCTTCGCCCTCTACAACAGGCTCGGTGTTTCGTTGCCTTCTCTTCAATGTCTTTGTTCGTACTGGCCCAACTGACGCGGACGCCGTCCTCCCGTATTATCACAGGCACTCTCAGGAAGTGAAATGATGGAAACGACGGACACCCAAAACCGAAACGAACGGAAAAATCATCTAAACGTAGGAATATCAGATAAAAGCGCCTGACCGGGAAACGAGTGAATTCGGCAAAAACATTAAATAGCAAAACAAGAGAATGCCCCATCCGAACAAACAACGTCAGAGAATTGGAGGCGGCGTGAGTGCCCGGCCGGAGATGTTCTGGGAACAGGAAAATGTCTGTTCAACCCGTCCTGCACTAACTGTTTGTAGCGGTTCCCCTGCGATTTTCGCACGTTAAAGCAGCTTTTTCCTCTACGGTACGTTCCTCCAGTGATGTCGATCGTTCCGAGTCCCGGTGCCGGTGCTCTCTCGGTCAATCACTCTTGACACCAAGGCCTCCACCACCCGCCCACCTGACTGAGCAGCCCCAGTTCAAGGACTATGTACGGTAATCTTATCAAGACCGCGACCTGTTCAGCTCATGGCTTAGGTTTCAGTCCTGGGGGGGCCCAAGTAAGCTTTGCCGCCATCAGTAACACTCTTAGCTCCACCTTAAGAACTTCTTTGATACCCTTGATGAACACAGTTCCGAAAAAATCGCCTCGGGCACCCAAGGACAATCGCGACCGATCGCACTTGTCTACGTAATGTACTTTCTTATTCAAACGTCTCCAAACAGACTTCACCAGGTAAGGCGAATATCGTCCATGTTACTACCGTACTAGGGAGCTGCGATATCCGTGGCGGTGATGGTTCCGTCTGCGTTGGCAATAAACTCTTGACCGCCGATGAGCACCTGCGCGAGTTTAAGAGCGTCGCAGAGGAGCATCCAAAAAGTGGCAAACAAGAGTAGCCGGGTTATCACGATGATCGGTGAGATTAGGGCTTCATATTGAAACATTCAAACTAGTCTTTGTGTCGCGGCCTTGGCCGTTGAGGAAACATTTTTTCTTACATAGCACACCCTGTACAACCTCAACTTACAACTAACAATGTGAGTTGTTTGTCAAACTACCGGCTAGTTGTTCGTAAACACCTAATAGTTGCGCGCGCTCTTAGACGAGTAGTTGTCCACAGGTAACTGAGTGCGCACGATTCTGTAAGAGTAGTTGTCTGCAGGCAACAAGGTGCGCACGATTCTGTAAGAGTAGCTGTCTGCAGGCAACTACATAGGTGCGCACGCTCTTGCAAGAGTAGTTGCCTGCATGCAACAATATAGGTGCGTACGCTGCTGGAAGTGTTGTCTGTACGTGCCGACGCTCCTGGAAGAGAAGTCGTCTTCAGGCTCAACTTTCCTATTCCCCTTTCCAGTCGACTTATGATCACCTCTCTCATACAAAGCCTTTGGGCGTACACATTAGATGCACTCATGCAGAGCAGAGCAGTTCTTGTTCCTGGAATCTCGCCTATTATTGTCTGCTCATGCTCATTAACTAAATAATGGACATGCCCATCAAGCTTGAGCGGTAGCCGAACGAGCTGTTTCAACAAGCAGGGTAAGGGTAAGGGTAAGTACGCTGGTCTCGCGCGATGGCGCTATTTCCTATCGCGTTCTCAACTAAATATGCCACACCGTGGAGAGGGTTGTGAGCATGTGCATCATGTGGTCCATCTAGTGCCGTCTTGAGCGTACTGGCTCGTGGTCTACCGGTGGCATGAAAAAATAGTCCATCATTCAACCCTTATAGCTAACAAAATTAGTTGTTTGCCAGTGAACTACCGGTGAACTGTTCGTGCACACCTAGTTTCGCACGCTCCTGGAAAAGAAGTCGTGTGCAGGCAACTAGGTGTGCACACTCCTGGAAGCGTAGGTGTCTGCGAAGCGTAGTTGTCTGCAGGCAAGTAAGTGCGTGTGCTCCTCGAAGAGTGGTTGTCTGCAGGCAGCTAGGTGCGCACGCTTCTCGAACAGTAGTTGTCTGGCAAATAACTACCAACCAACGTAGTTGTACAGGGTGTGGGACAATGTTTTCGTGCCGGCTTTGCACAGGAAGAGTTAGCTCCCGAAATCGCATTACATCCACACAGTGAGCGATTCTTGAGCCCGGAGCGCCGTGGAAGCGCTTACCTCATCGGCCACCACAAGAGCAACGCATCGCTTGCCGGCGGTGACACCGGCAGGCACGGACACAGTCACGGAAAAGTCCAGCTCCGCACCGCCTTCGACGTCCTCATAACCCTCGCTGGGGGATTGCGTGTGCTCCCAGGCGTTCAGTTCAAAGTCCGAATCCCTGCAGGCCCATTCGATATCGACCTTGTTGTACGTGACCGCCTCGATCCCCTGCGTGGATCAGTGCGCCACCGTCAAGCGAGAGGAATTGGTGTACTCGACTCCTCGAGGCGGATGCCTATTCCGTACATGGTAAGCGGCTGAAAAAGACTAGTCAAGTACTGGCGGCTTGTACTACAGCTAAAATTGTAAGAGACGATGGTTTTCGAATCGATGTTGGTCTTGGACTCCCTGCCGATCGACACTTGCTCCAAGAAACCAAATGATCACCGATCGGTATGCTTGGTAGGTCTACATATATATGGTGGGTTCACCGTGCACGTACCACCAGTATCTTCTCCAAGATGTCCGAAGAGTTGCTCGTAGTCGTCTCCACGACTCCACCGGTCTCCGTTGCAATTGTGTCCATCTCTTCGCCCGCACCAGGAGCCTTGAGAGCAAGAATCTACAAATTGTACGAAGGGTACGGCAGCGGTAGCAGTGTCGTGCGTGGAAGCTGCTCTGTGGTGACAGAGGTCTGCCATTACTCGACCCTTCCATTTCGGTTCGAACAGAAGCTGAGAAGCCCAAGTAACTTACGGTTAGGGTTAGGCTCAGATTGATTCCGGTGAAGTAGGTGGTTACGTGATACGAAGTAGGTGTTTCTCTTGATTGGTCATACTCGATGTGTGGTGTTCGTAGATAGCCGACTACTTGGCATCGCGTGCTGAGCGGGAGCGAAAGTTTATTGTTTTTTCCCGTTTGATGCACGTCACTTTGTAGGGACGTCTGACGTTTGGTCTACGTGTATGTATGTAACTAATGTTCATTCTTTGTCCGCATTTATTTGATATCTTTTCGTCTCTGTTGATTCGTTTTTTCATCGACTCTTCGAATTGTGTATTCTCTATGGGACGTAAATTCGTGTCTGTCGGCATCACCTTGATGTTCTTCGCCAAGCAGGCCGAGATAACATCGTCGAGGGAAAAGTATGATTCCGCGCTGCCATCGCCAGGTACATGGAAGCTCGCGTCGGTCGTGATGGCCAGGATCTGGGGAGGGCCGGAAGAATTATTTGTGTTGGAGGTGGATCGCGTGAGGAATCCAGCGAGGTTCGCCCGAGTATCGTACACAGTAGAAACAAACAAAAAAACTCCGCCTATTTAGCAGTATACCTGAAGGGTACGAGGGTACGCTAGGAGTGCAGTGTTTGTCAAATCTTCCACTGCCAACACGTGGAGCTGATGGTGAGGCACGTTCAGCACACGAAAAGTGGTGGGCACGTCGGACTGACCGCGGCAAGTGTCCCGCCTGCCAGTGTGAACGAGTTACGACTAGTCCAATCAGGCAGTAGTAGTGAAAATATGAAAACACGTTAGGCGCAGGTGTGCTGTGTGCAGCGAAATGTATAGCTTCTTCCGCGCACTCGTCTTGAGCACGCTTACGCTGACGAACGTCACTATGCGTCTGTCTCCTCGTCGTTGGTAGCCGCAACGTAATCTTCGAACCGTTATGGCAGCAGGTCCCACCAACTTGCAATGTACACACCTTGAGGGCGGCGTCCCGCCAGGTCCATCCGTCGGCCGCGCTGACGAGCGCAACGGTTTGGCTCTCCGGCTCATCGCCACCACCTTCTAAAACGAGAGAATTGACGGCGTCAACGAAGCTTGAGCGCTCTGCTTCAAAGCAGGCAGAAACTTCCTCTTCCGTTCCTTCGCCGCAGTTTCCGAACGGCTTCAGCTCCGTGTATGCAGAATCGGGGGATGTATCCTTCGACACAAGTGGAAAAATCAGAGACAAAGGTAGACAGGATAGTTTTCAGCTTTGCGGTTCGCGTCGCTTCCTTTTGTCTTTCGTATTTCTCGTATTGTGCGAAATCGGCGTAAATACGCGACCATGCAACATGCCATCGGTCACAGTTCTAACCAATGATGTTGTACATTTGGCGGGAGTTCACGCTGTACCGTACGTGGTAAGAGGCTAAGGTAAATTCTCGGTGACCTGCCGATGGGCGGCCCCCATGTAGGCAAGTGTTGATCATCATATCCGAAACAGTGGCGGGCGCACGGATCGCGTGTGTGGAAACGGACATGTTCAAGGCACAGCGACAGTACGTGCCGTCCTGCCCCGCCCTAACAGCGTGCCGTCGACCAGCACAGCATGTAATGATGTAATGGGGCATGTGCCTCTACGCAATCGTTGCTGTCGTGCGGCTTGGCACCAACCTGACACGGAGAATGATCACTGAGATGCGCCTCAAATGAACACGATCCGAGCGAACAACGTAGTCTGCTAGCGAATTCTGTTATTCTGCTGCCGCTGGAGAGCCTTGCGATGGTCCATGTCGCCGTGTCCACACATGTCCAATTAATTCACAGTCGCATTTTGTCTCACAGAGGAGGGGAAGTCAGAGAAGCTGCCGAGCGCCAGCCGATTGTCAACGACGTCCACTCCGGCCGTGTCCGTTGACAATGCTTCCACCAGATCCGCAGCCAAGGTTTTAAGATTCTCGATATCGTCCCTGCGTGTTGTGTTGTGTTAGGCGAAGTAACTTAAACGTGGGACGTCTGACAAACGTTGGCGGACCGGGCGAGAAGCTACATGAAACCAACAGATTTGAAAAATCATGATCGACACAGTCAGCGCACAATGAATGCAAAAGAAATACAAAACAATGAACCAAAGGCGGTGTTTGGCTCACCCGTAGCTGCCGGACACATCGACGAGGAGGCCGAAGTCCACGCTTGATTCGGATAGGTCTGGCACTTCCACCGAAAATGGTAGGGTCAAGGTCACGGTGTCACCGCCCGCTGGTGCCGCCGAACAAGTGGGCAGCGTTGTGATGTACCCGTCGCCGGCGTCTACGGGTCTCATTTCCAAGTCTTTGAGCGGAAACGTCGTGTGTCGGCAAAAGAAAGGGGGAAAGATGTCGGCCAGGGTGTTGGTGAAAAAATTCGGGCGAAGACTGTCCGACTCGGTGGTTTCACCAGTGTCGCACCTTACTCGTTACGTCATGCAAACATAAGATATACAATCGAGCAAGAAGAGGGAACATTGTACATGCACATGTACATGCACACGAAAACTTACACAGCTGACACAGCCAGAAATCGATCGATGTCCCGCCACCACAGCACCAATCAAACGGCAACGTGTCCTCTCTCGCGTGGTCATCCAACGAACCGAGTTCGGATTCATGTCTGTCGACGGTGCCCCCGCCATCAACTGCGTCCACCCGTATGTTTCCCGCTGCGTCGTAGCAGCACTGCAAAAAAAATCAAAAAGGAGGTAATGGGAAGTAATATTTTGGGTAGACGTTCTGATGCATGCCAAAAATTGTTGGTGCTGCATGGGCAGACCATTCGGCCTTTAAACGAGAACTGTTTTCCTCCTATAAGTTGCCCTCTCACTGCAGAGACTATCTACACGCACCTTCCTCTCTGCATGGAAAGAGCAATGACCCGGGGCCACACAGATTGTTGTGTTAAGGTTACTCGAGTGGACGAACAAGTCACCACAACAGTCTCTCTGCTGAGCTCCACCGGAAAACGTGATCCATTGTGCAATCCGACACGCCATGAGCGCGAGCATTTTCGGCGAGAGTACGCACATCATGCTTAGCGCAAGTCAGGCACGGCATGGACGAAACAAACCACGGAAGAAAACACACAAGTTGCTGGTCTGAAGTTCAATCGTCCCATTAGTAGCGGGATAGCGATGCACGAGGCACGGTCGAAGAAAAGGTTCGGGTGTGCGTCATAATGCGTTCTAAACTGAAGAACCACAGATACGCACTCTCGTGCCAAGTCCAACACTACGGCTTTCCGTGTGGCGCGGCTTGAATTCGTCTCGCAGCTTTGTTGGGGAGGTACCAAACGCACAGCAATTTTTCAGGATCAGGAACTCAACGATACATGCATACGGCCGGCCACAGACACACCTGGTTGCCGATGCCGTTGTTTATGCCACCACTCGTGGCCTCGTCTGAACGCACACAGAACTCCGCGTTGGGGTGAAGCTCGCACGCCGGGGAAAATATTTTTCCGAAAGTTTTGTCCCAAACCCATGCCGTAAAGGCATCTTGTTGACACGACAAGAGATTACGGTCGTCTCCAGCGGAGTCAAACTCGCAGCTGCCGAAGGGGCACGCCAGGTCGTTTTTCCACCCGCTGATCAAGTTGGACGATCTCAGGTCTTCGTAGCTGTAACCTGCTTTTCTTGACTGCGGCGTCATCCACAGATCGGCAACGTACATAGCACAGCAACAAGCGTATAAGGAGCAGAGGTTGTACCGATCACAGGTTAGCTGTTGGTTAGTGAGCATGAAGCAGGAACTTTACCATGCAGCAAACATAGATCCGCGGCCGGAGGGGACGTTCTTAGGGTACTTGGTGGCGGATGACAATGTTGCAATGCAAGGAAGGTTGAGCATGAGCTCGGAGAGCACAAACATGCGTTTGATGAATTGGCGTGCAAATGAAACACGTGAAATGATTCGTCTGGGCATGAGCGAAATACTGTCCGGGTCAGTCGGGGCGGCACGTGCGTGTCGTCTTTATTTGGGTGTTGAGGGGGAAGAAACAACGATACCGTGTTCAAGAGACAACCACCCACGAATCGTTCTCAACCATCGAAGCCATGGTACATGAGGACTAATGCAGCCTTTACATTCAGGCTCAGGACCTGATGGAAGACGTGAAATCGCCATTGTCAATAGACGTGCGCGTGTGAGTACACACCAAGAGTGGTGCCTAGATGCGTAGCCTGGTGACAATTTGCTACTGCTATGCTTTTGACTGTGGGAAGAAGCTTTCACACTTTTTACAACAAAGTAAGTTGTTTGCCAGACAAGCACCGGCTCGTTGTTCGTCAATACCTAGTTGCGCACGCTCCTGGAGGATTAGTTGTCTACAGGCAACTAGGTGCGCGAGAATTTGAATCAGTAGTTGTCTGCAGCCAACTCGGTGCGCACGCTCCTGAAAGAGTGGTTGTCTGCAGACAACTATTATAGGTGCGCACGCTCCCGGAAATAAATATGGTTGTCTGGCAAAAAACTACCAACTAACGTAGTTATAGTCTGGCAAAAAACTACCAACTAACGTAGTTGTACTGGGTGTGAAAATTTTCCCAGCAGGAGATACGCCTCAATTGTACCGATTCTCCTGCGTATGGTTCAGACTATTCATTTTGCGAAGGAGGTCAGCAGGAAGATCCTACCCGCCGAGAGCAAAAAGGGTGATGATGTAGCATGGCGTTGACGTTGTCCGCGTATTTTTTTCAAGAACCCGGCGAAGACTCGCCGGGATGCAGGGGCGAATCACCCCACCAAGGCGTACCTCGCGGAGGTGTATCGCTTGAGGTGTGCGATTAAATATCCACGCGATGGTTAGTAGGTGGTAGTGGTGGAAAGACGTTCCTGGTGGACAACGCAAATAGGATACGTCCATCGTGGATCTTGCGCAGGCACGGCGACGGGTCGATGCCAACGTCTTCAAGGGGGGGCTAATCCCGCCGCTTCGCTGGGAGCGCTCCGGTTCTTCTGCGCCATCAGCGCCCGAAAGCTACAGCGCATTGGTAGTCCATTCTATATTTATCTCTGATACATCACGGCAACTATCTCATAACACATACCGTGATGAGACCTGGCGGTGCTTTCAAGATGCAGGCAATAGTCGAAGGGCAGCGGTATTCCTCGTCGAACATATCGAGCTGCACACCGCGGCCTTCCTTGACTTTCTCCGCTGCGAAAAAGCACTGGCACCTGAAGGGAAATTGGGTATTCATCAGAGCTTACTCTCGAATGTGAACCGTTCCTCGGTAGTTTTGGTCAATCACACGCTAAACTGATGGAGTTGGTATGATGTGTTTCCTATGCTACTCTCTACATTGCCAAGGAAAGAATTCCGAACCTCTCGCACACAACAGGCAAATATCAACTGAAAGGTGTTCAGTACGCGTCTCGCCCAAAAAAATGGGGGGACTGCCGCCGAAATAAATAGGGAGACACAAACACCGCTCAAACGTGCGTGGCGTCTGCTGAGGCACGCACGGACCCACAATATCGTAAACGTTTGGTCACAGCGAAGAATGCCAACGAAAAAAATGCTTCCGTTTGCTAGAGCGACGTGGCACGGTTCGCTCGATTTGACGTATCAGAAACTCAAGCACACCGCATGAGATAGCACATCGTGAATTTTCTCTCGACCGTTTCCCGGGTGTTGAACCATTTCGTGAACTTCGTACATATTTAGTGAACCGGCGACAGATGACATACATTCCTTGCAGCTTCAAACTCCCTGTTTTTACTGTTTGCGCAGACGGGATGTTTTGGAGGAACAGGTTGTGTCATTGGTATGTCCATGGTGTAACCGTCTGGTGGCATACTGCATTCATTCGTACATACACTTTGCAATATCGCGATCATACATAATTAGTCTACTGAAGTCCGCGGGAGGCAAACAACATTCAAGACACCCGTGCAAACGCAAAATGTTCGCCGGTGCCTGGAGAACTTCGCCTGCAAAGAAAAGTCGTGGGCATTTGGCTGCGTTTAACATCGACCATTTTCATTCGGAAGCAACTTGGGTCATGCCCTTGTAGTCGGCATTGAACAGCTATTGCTCGAGGAAGAAAACATGTTTCATGAACAGCACATGTCATGGTAGAAAAGAACACATTTTGATTATCGGTCTGTCGCTCGTGATTCTCTACATCAACAGGCGATGGGATACCCAAGGTCTGCTATTCTTGGGTGAGAGTTTTTGAGGAGGGCATTGCCGAAGGTGACGACGATTTCCTAACAGAGCAAAGGAGTGCCAGTGACATACTTTTACATGCGTAGTTTTTGGGTTCCAGTCGCGGTTACAATACATCAGGACCTCGAAGACGAAGATCTCGTGGATACCTGCCACAGCCTGGCGACACAACCGTTGTTCATCCACCTCTTGATACTGCAAGAAAGTAAACCCACCTCGAGTAGTCGTCGGCGAACGCCGTTCCGCACAGGGTCGTGCTGGAATCGTTACCTTCAAGGTCTTCGATCCATTCCAGTTGACCCGTGGTCACGATCTCGGGGAAAACGATCGGGTCGATCCCACTGTCCTGGAGACGACGTCTTAGGCTCGCGGTGCTGCCGACGATCTGCGTCAGGAGGGTGAACCCGGACGCATGACATGTAGGCGCTTCTGTGTTTCATCACACCATTTCATGGTGTGGTGTACCTCAAGCCTCCTCATACAAGCAAACAAAGACCATTCCGTCAAACTTCACGCAGCGTTCTTTCGTTTATTGGGTCCAAATTGTTACACTGATTCGCGGACTCCATCAACTCGCGTGACTCGCAACATCCGTTTGTCTATCTTCGAAGCGCGAAGTGTGAAAAATTATATGTAGTTTACGAAATGATGTTTCCGTTCCTCCAGAATATTCGTGTAACCACTGCCTTCTTTATCGCGCACATGCTTTGATGGTAGTCATCGCGGGCACTAGAAGGTCCGCGACCAGTGAAACGCGCACGACCTGCAGCAGCCCAGATACGAGCAACGAAGAGCAGAAGTTGAGATCGCCAGATACGTACCTTGAAGAAGACGAAGCTGTCGTCAAGGTCGAATTCTTCCAACGAAGTGAACGGGATGAGGTACGAACCGGTGTTGGGCACCTCGTCCAAAACAGCGATATCTTCAAAGGTTTCGCTGTCCGCCAACACGATCTCGACGGAATCAGCCGAAATAGACGCCGCGTCCCAGTCCAGCTGGAGATCGGAGGGAGGGTCCGTGATTACCGACGAGCGCACGGCACCGTCGGTATCGCTCAAGCTGGCGAGAGGGGACTCCAAGAGGCTGGCGAGGTCAAACAGCGTGATATCGCCAACAATTATCTCCCCGGCAGTAGAACCAGCCACCACCGTCACAGCTAGCACGCCGAGGAAATGTATCGTTTTCAAACAAACATGCGCGCAGGGGGGGAGAGCGAACGATATGATTCAGCAGATTTGTTTATGGTGAGCTTTCGACGACAAGTCTTGATCCCCACTCGATACGCCGATAGAGTACCAGTCCAAGACGGAGACTCTTAGGCGGGTCACCCAAGATAGCGGGCTGACAAATAAACTCATGAAGCAGTGTTATCAAGGCGTAGAACTCTCTTTCACTATCCGCAGCGAGCAAGGATGTCTGTCTTACTTGTGGTATCCGTGGGCAACGCCGGTAAGGTGAACTTTGCGGTAGTAGCATCGATGACGGTTCCGGCCACGGTCTCCAAGCTGGCGGGTGGGGAGCATGCGCGTGGCGGGATGACGATAAGAGGGTTAATATCCGAACACGCCACAACTTGGCAAAGTCATCCCATACTGACATCGTACAAGGCAGCGATCGGCGCCTCCCGCACTGTGCCAAAGTGAACAGCAAGTACTTCAATCAAGAATTCTTCACTCTTGCCGAGGACACGTTCCGCGGGAAGCGGGAAGAGGTTGGTAGCACTTGTTTGTGCAACGACGTACGTCATCTTTGATTTGATGATGTACTTACAGCTCGTCTTCGCCGAAAGCAAAGATGTCGAAGATAGTGGAGAGGTCGAACTCGCATGGAGACGATGTCACCGTCAACGACGACCCACCGAGAGTTGTTGGTACTGTAGTCGCTTCCGTCAGCGACATTTTACACACGGTGTCGTCTGCACAGCGGAAGCGAATGGGTATCACGTCGAAAGTAAATGGGAAAGCAGACTGTATCGGTAATCCATGAACCCCCTCTTTTTTAACGAAACTTCCACGGAAGCGTCTGGGCATGAGGTCATTCCAGTTTTCCCACCCTAAATGACCGTGAAAGCTATTCTGACGCTGCAGACCTTCCATGACGGAAGCTAATTGTTCCAAGGGACTTCTGTGGAAGTTAATTCCAAGTGGCACATGCACATTTCACGTCATTAGTTCCATGGAATAAAAACGTGTCGCTCCCATGGAAGTAGTACCATCGATGGAGCTGATAGAAAAGTGTGCACATTTGTCAAATAGTGTGGAAGATCGCACGAAACGCTTCTAATGCTTCCGATTCGCCGAAAAGTGCGGACATTTGCTCTCGAGCTATCATGGATATTCGGCCGTTGAACGTGCGTGCGAACTTTCCTACCGCGGCTTCTCAAACATGAACATCAATTATCCGCACTGTTGGCGGTGAGGGAGATCCAGTCATCCACGCGTGGGCTAAGCACGCGCGTCACTCGCACAGCTGTAGTTGACCTGCCGCCTTTTACTACCGTTACACCGAGCTATTGGCGGCCGCACGTGCGGACGTTCGAAAGGAAACTGCACACCTTCACGTACAATATGTTGGGTCCACAGTGGAAACTCAGGGACACTTACAAGAGACCGTGACAGTCACTGGTGTGGGAGTCGCCCCTGACGATGGCACAGGCGTCGGCGGAACCCCGCCTGAGACACATGACGGAATTTTAAGCCGATGCCAGTGAACGAGGACGACATATCAGACGGAAAACGGACGGAGGGAAAGGAAAACAAGTATTTCACAAGCTTCGAGGGAAAAGATAACGTGGAACACTTCATCGCCGTCTTCTTGACTACGTCTGAGAAAGCGGACATATTTTGGTTTGAGTGATTGAAAAATCTTGTTGCGCTTGTTTCTTAGTTTCTCTTTGGTCACGGGATATACACGGTCCGAGCAGGGCAAACGACCCACGGGACTGCTAGGACCACATACATCCGAATCGCTGAGGAGCGTAATTCTATGTAGCTGGCCGCTTCAGTTTTTGCATTAGGTTTGCGCTCAAACTTACCTCGTCCACGATCGGGTGAGAGGGCAAAAAAGGGTTCAACTTCACATGTGCAGCGACCAAGGCCACGAAGTCGGAGGAGCACACTCTAACGATAGAAGTACCCGGAGCGAGTGTGAGCTCGTCACTTCGAAGTGTCAACAAGCGTCGTTCGTTCGTAGAGACTCACTGGTCACAACGCAGGGTGCTTCTCCCGTAACAGAGCAGTCGCGACCGGAGGCCCTGACTCCTCCACCACAGCAGGCGTCTGCCCCGCCGTCCCTGACAGTGCACCCGGTACCTCCGCAAGACCCGCAGCTCAAGGAACAGCATACGTCGCTCGACTGGATGCCGACGATTCCGCCGTCGCACATCGGGACTGTTCGGTTCGGTTGAAGACGCCATTCAAATCGCAGATACCACATATCACTCAGGAGAGGTGAGTTTAAGCGAGGAGACGCCGACCAGACGCCACTCATGGTCAATCGCGCATTACTCGGGACCTGGCGTGGTCTGGGTGCGTTGCTTCAGTTCATAGTCCATTTTGCGCCTCATCATAGTCATTGTTCAGCGATACATCCATCAGTAAGCAAGCACACCCTCACAGATGTTTAAGACGTGGAAGCGGGAAGCATGGGGATCAATTTAAGAGTCGATGTTCGTCTTGCAGATGGGAAACAACATGCGTCGACCTGCGGTACATCGGAATCATTTCAAATAGGTACGACAGGCGTCCATGCTACATGAGCTATGACTTGGTGCTAAAAGCCCTTGTCAGGCGTGCTGTTCGGTCATTAAGAGGACATCGAAGCCGCAGCACCGTGAAATTTCGAGGAGCCACGATTACCAAGTCGCTTACAGTGGACGGTGTTCAGGTCGCCAGGATATCTGATGCTGATGACATGCCGTAGGGTTTGGCGCGATAACAAGGAAGAATCGCTTACCTTCTTCGGTGGGGATTGGCGTAGGGGCTGGCGTAGGTTCCGGCGTAGGAGCCGAGCCTGCCTCACAAACGGTGCAAGCACCCGTTCGTTGTATTGTTGGGACCATGTTAAAAGGCAGAACGGCGTTCAACGGAATATGTCGATGCATAGAACCGGAAGTGGGGATTCCGATAGCGCTGCCTGTTGCCGACATGGGCTAACACTGCTGCGTCAAAACATGCCTGAGCTAAGAGAATCGCAGCTGCAAAATACATGCATGGTCAACCGAGAAGCCAAATTCAAGCTAACCGTTTCAGTTTTTCGTCATGGTTTGGATTATCAGTACGGACATCAAGCTTCGCCCGCTCACTCAACCTCTCCAAAACCGAGTGAGGGAACGGAAGGGAGCACACATGCAATGACCGAGGTGTCAAGGGGGAAGGCGCGTTCCTAGAGGCTCACCGGTAATGCAGGGAGCTTCTCCCGTAACAGAGCAATAGCGACCGGAGCTCCTGACCCCTCCGCCACAGCAGGCGTCGGCTCCACCGTCCCTGCCAGTGCAACCGGTGCCTCCGCACGACCCGCAGCTCAAGGAGCAGCATACGTCACTCGACTGGATGCCGACAATGCCGCCGTCGCACGTCGGAACTGTTCGTTTCGGATGAAAATGCCATTTGAAGCACAGCCGTCGTGCGTAGTAGAATTAGTTGAGTGTAACGGGGACGACGCCGACCAGACATCATTCATGGTCAATCCCACACTACGAAAGACCGGAAGAGGTCGAAGTGAGTTGCTTCAGTTCATAGCCCATTGGGCGTCTCAACATATCCTTACCATGGCGATTATTTAAAGACCAGCAGTCAATCAAGGCACGCCCTCACAGATGGTCGACACGTGACAATGCGAGGCATGGGGAACCATTGCGGGTCAATCAAAAAGTCGGTATTCGTCCTGCAGATAAATGACTATAACATGCGTTGACCTACGGTACCTCGGAATCATTTCGAGTAGGCGCCACAGGCGTCCATGCTACATGAGGTAAGACGAGGTGCTCAAAGCCCTTTTCAGTCTTCCTGTTTTGAATATTGACAGGACATCGAAGATGCAACAAAAAGCGCGGGCAGTTTCGAGAAGCAACGATTATCAAGTCTTCGACTGTGGACGGTGTTCAGGTCGGCAAGATATCTGATCCTTCGAACATTTTGAAGGTTTTCGCGAAAGGCGGCAACGGAGCACTGCTTACCTTCTTCCGTAGGGGGCGGCGTAGGGGCCGGCGTAGGTTCCGGCGTGGGTGCAGGGCCTGTTTTACAAACGATGCAAGCGTCCGTTCATCGTATCGTTGGCACCATGTTGCAAGAGAAGCGGGCATTCAACGCAATACGTCCAAGCACAGAACCTGGAGTGGGGCTTCAGATAGCGCTACCTTTGTGTGATGTGGTCTGACGCTGCTGTGCCAGCATATGCCTGAACGAAGAGAATCACAGCTACAACATATATGTATGGTTCATCGAGAAGAAAAATTTCAGCTGCTCGTTTCAATTTTTCGTCAGGTTACCCGCTCAAACTCCCTCTCCAAGATCGGGTGAGGGTAGAGGAGGGGGCATATGTACATATGCAGTGACCAAGGGCTAAAAGTCGGAGGGAAGACTCTAGCGGTAGTAGCACTAAGAGTGAGTGTGAGCTCGTAACTTCGACATTTCAACAAGCGTCTAGTTTGTTCTTGTTCGCTCACCGGTCATGCAGGGAGCTTCTCCCGTAACAGAGCAGTAGCGACCGGAGGCCCTGACTCCTCCGCCACAGCAGGCGTCTTCCCCACCGTCCCTGCCAGTGCACCCGCTACCTCCGCAAGATCCGCAGCTTGAGGTGCAGCATACATCACTCGACTGGATGCCGACAATTCCGCCGTCGCACATCGGAACTGACGGTTACGATAACGCCGTCATCCAGACCACAGACGTCGTGCTGAGTGGAGTTAATTGAGTTCAAGTGGGAAGACGCTGACCAGACATTAACCGTGGTCAATCCGAACCACCTGGGACCACGAGGTTGCCGGCGAGTTGCTTCTCAGGTCGTGGCCCATTTTTGCGCCTCACCATAGCCAATCGTTCAGAGATATGATCGTCGTCAAGTGAAACACACCCTCACAGATGTTGAAGACATGACAGCAGGAAGCTCGGGAGAATTTGCGAATCAATCAAGAAGCCGATGTCCTCCCGACAAATGAAACACAGCATGCGCTGACCTGCACCTGCAGTATATCAGAACCCATTAGTACAGGCGCGACAGGCGTCCCTACTACCTGGGCTATGGCGGGGTTGTTGAAGCCCCTGTCTGTCTTGCTGTTTGGTCACTAACTTAACATCAAAGCTGCAGCACCAAGCACGTGCAGTTTCGAGGAGTCACAATTCAAGTCGTGTACGGTGCGCGGTGTTCAGGTCGGCAGGATATCTGATACTGAAGACATGCCGTAAAGTTTGGCGCGAACCGCAACAGAGCACTGCTTACCTTCATCTGTAGGGGGCTGCGTGGGGGCCGGCGTAGGTTCCGGCGTGGGGGCCGGGCCTGCTTTCACAACGGTGAAAGCATCCGTTCATAGTGTCGTTGGCGTCGTGTTGCATGAGAAGAGGACGTTCAACGAAATTCATCGACCTATAGAACCGGACGCGACGCTTCTGCTAGCGCTGGCTATGTCTAATATAGTCTGACCCTGCTGTGGAAACCTGTGCGTAAACGAAGGGAATCGCGGCTGAAAAAACATGCACGTAGGGTTCATTGAGTGTTGAGATGGCCGTTCCAATTTGTCGTCATGTTTTGAATTCTCATTTCGAAAATCAAGCTCCACCCGCTCACTCCACCTTTCCAAAGCCGAGCGAGGGCATGGACGGAAGCACATAAGCATTAACCGAGGTCTCAAAGGGGAAGGCGCGTTCCTGGAGGCTCACCGGTAATGCAGGGCGCTTCTCCCGTAACAGAGCAAAAGCGACCGGAGCTCCTGACCCCTCCGCCACAGCAGGCGTCGGCTCCACCGTCCCTGCCAGTGCAACCGGTGCCTCCGCACGACCCGCAGCTCAAGGAGCAGCATACGTCACTCGACTGGATGCCGACAATGCCGCCGTCGCACGTCGGAACTGTTCGTTTCGGATGAAGGTGCCATTTGAATCACAGCCGTCGTGCTCAGTAGACATGGGCTCAAGTGAGCAGATACAGAACAAGCGCATATAATTTTCGATCGCGCACTCCGTGGAACCTGGCGTTTCCGTTGGCGAGTTGTTTCAGCTTGAAAGTCGTTTTACGGCTAAGCATTTGTTATGTGTAGATATACGGCAGTCAGCCAAACAGAGTTCACTTTCACAAATGTTCAAGACGTGACAGTGCAAAACGTGGCGCACCATTTGCACGTCACAATAAGGCGTCGATGTCTGCCCGGCAGATGGATCAACACAACATACACTAACCTACGCCATAATCATTTCAAATAGGCGCGACAATCGTCTCTGCTACATGTGCTCTGAAAGGGTGCCTCTTAACAAGACGTTGGTTAGACGGAAAAAGTTGTCACGCATCATTGTTGGAACATGTTAAGTGAACTTGGCGTGCTCCCCAAACCTCTGAACATCAGCGGAGAGAGGGCACGCGTGGCCAGTTGCCGGTAGGCCGTTGCCCTCGTGGGCGCGAGAGAGGACGACGGAGTACATGGGCATGCCGTAGGGTTGAGGCATTGGACAACATGAACAGGTGGCTACAGAAGTAGGTCTTTTTACTTCGAGCTGGACGGGGGGCACCAGGCGGGGTACACTCGTGGCTCATTATTCCGGGTGAATGCTGCGGAGAATGAAATGCGTCAAGCGCGCCGCGAGACGCTGAGTCCTTGCTCTACTGCTACGGTTGTCTTAAGCCGACGGTGCGCATGACAGCTGCGGCGTCGCTGCGGCGGCAAACGCTGCAGCACCCTAGCCCGGGAGTTACGCGCGGAAACCGCTGCCCGTCTAAAAGCGTGAAAATAATTCGAAAGCCGTGCGTAACACGAGATACCACACCCCTTGGGGGGGCACTTGTTACAATAGGCTGTACGTGCCCCGTCATTGTGCGCGTCCGGAGTGCGAATACACATCCCAGAGTTGCTTGTACGGCGCCCCGTTACTGATCCTGAGGCTGGCTTCGGCCAGCACCGCACCCTTATCTCAGTAGGTTGGTCGGATCCGGAACGCAATAAAAGTCTGCACGGTCCTCTTTCAATGAGCGTGTGGCTGGCTTCGCACTCTATGTAGCTTAGTCGGGTTCGGAGCGCAAGGAAGGGGTGTTGATACAGCAGAGTACCATTTTCACACACAAACTGTTTGATCGAGGAGAAGCGGGGTACTGAATACATTTTAGTCCGCGGAGAAGAGACTGCAGAAAATGATGACACCATTCGAATGAGAAATTTCGGCGGTCAGCCGAAACGAACGGTGATGGCGTCCCTCCGCCGAACTGAAGGTAGCTCCCACCACTCGTCAGTGCAACTCAAGCGTAGCGCTGAAGCGCCGACTACTCTATACCGGGCAAGGGCGCCCCGCCTCAAGCGGACTCTTTGTGACATACAGCTGCACAAGACGAGCGCTTTCTTCATAACAGACGGGGCGCGTGCGGCGAGGTTATCAGAAGAGCAGAGGGTACCCAAGGATGATCGGGTTCGCCTCAACACACTCGCGCTTCAAACTATCGAAAATGTTTTAAAGACACGTGGAGATCACCTCAGATCCCGTGCGCCATGTGGCTAATGGTAGTCGCTATGTTTTCACCAACTGGGCATGACGAGCATGCCATATTGTCGGCGTTACTCGCCCCCTCTTTTTCTTACCTTCGGCCTGGAGGCGGCGCCAGTTTGTGTTGGTCGTTTCATCGTTGGCGAGAAGTTCCAAGTTTCCCTGTTGACAAAGAAAGACGGCCAAAGCAGAAAAGGGGTACATATTCTTCAACAAGAGCGGTTTTATCATTCGTTTCGCTCATGACGCAGCGCGCGTTGTTTCAATAGTGGTCCGAGCCAAGGGATTAATCCGCAATTGAAGCCATCTGCCAACAGCATGCGTTGTGCTGCCTCCACAGCATTCTTGTTCGGTTAAGAAAAAGGCATCACCCCAATCGCGCCGAGGAAGCGACCGTTGGGTTGCCACTCAAAATAAAGAAGAAGCAACTTTCAGGAGAAGTGCAGTTTTTTCACAAAGAACAGGACGAAGGTCTCAACTCGCGCTCCCCCAGCAACATCTCAGATCTTCAAAGTACCGGTTCGAACACCACCGCTTGCGTCGATCTCTACGTGTGGCGCGTACCACAGCGGTGAAAGGATATCACCCCACACCTGAGGTACATGCGGCCGCACCTAACCTCGGAGATGCAGAGGCCTCTACAGCGTGGGTGGACAGCGATATGTTGCAATGCCTGAAAGACCGCAGCACTTCGGCACCGTGAACACATGAAACCCATTGAGCTAAAACGGTGACAAATGAGTATCGTTCGAAAGCTATACAACACAAACGTTGAGGGATGACCGGCATACCGTTGTTATAGCACGAAGCAAAGCTTCAACATCGGCCACTTTCAGCCTACTTGGTTTATCCCGTATGGTCCCGTATTTTTCGCCGAGAACAAACAGAAAGGCGAAGAACTGACGCCCACAATATTCGGATGGGGAAGCCCTCTTCCTGCTTTTCATCTTGTTTGAAAACGTTATGGAGACGCTGTGCCGCGAAGCATCAGCAGGTAATGAGCGCTCGATGTACCTCGTTGTGATCGCTGACAGCCGAGCCAGCCGAGGCCAAGGTTCCGGCGAGGGCAAGTAGCACGAGAGGCAAGATCTTCATCGTCCCTGCCGCCTTGTTCTTCATGGCTGTGGCCCTCCTGCATGAAAGCAGGCAAGACTTAGAGAACGATCCAGAACAAACATTCAAGGAAAAACACTACGGGCGACGACAGGGACTTGTCCATGTTTCAAAATATATGCAACCGCTCGGTTGGCCCGGTTGACCGGTTTTGTGTTGCACCCCGACAAATCACCGTTCAACGAGGTTGCGGTGACCTCGACGGTGCATAATCCATCCGTGAACGTGTCCTCGGTGCATCATGCTTGAGAGGAATGCATCGGGAGTGGTGGAAACTTGGCACCAAACGGGTCCCCGCCTGATATAAACTAGGTGTTGTCTGGTGCAAATTTGTGCATCTGAGGAAGGGAGAAGGGATTTCATTCAATTCTCCTGGTAATCAACAAGGGCAAAACATTCCTTGTGCCAGTGGAACCAAAGGTAAGAGAGAAAAACTGGACGCGTCCCCATCACAAGGCAAGAATGAACACATCTAGTCTGGATGGTGCCACCACTTGAGATTGCGGTGTTGGAAACTTCAGCATTCAGAACCTTCGAAACAAAATGGACCTACCTATCGTCCACTGCACGTTGCGGACTTCCGTTCTCCTCTTTATCCGGGTCACTATTATATCAGACGGAACGACTATGATGTGGGACGTGGTATAAGATGCATATTCTCCGGATTGAAGGATAAAGCACGGGACAGCCCTTGTTAGAGGGCGCTGGTCTGCCCCCACATGCTCAGTCTATCACAGAGAGAAGAAATCGGCATGCACTGCTATCCAAAGAGATGAATCAACAAGTAAGTGAGTCTTCACCAGGGTCTTCAGATGTTACGCGTGTCTAGACTATACCGCTACACTTGGCGTGGTCGACAGGACTCGAACGCGTTTGATATCACAATCGGTTTCAAATCGTGGTCCAGCCGAATAGAAAATACAACCGACGATTACCGTTTTGAGCAACCGACTCTGCACAAGCCACATGACGCAGCTCGTGTGAGCACCGTTAGTGTTTCCGGGGATTAACAATCGATTCAAGTTTGTACGTAAGCGTCATGTGGTTGTGTGACCAATAAAAAACAGTAAAATTTGACAGATGAGCCCTGTCCAAAAACTTAAGAAATACAGAAAGGTCGGACTGCCCAAAACGGATTGTGTTTCACCGAAGGTTTTCTTTATCTGTGTAATAGAAGACACGCAATGGAGTAATTTGGCCAGTTGTCTTTAATTGCGATGATAAATGTAAAAGACAGCCGAGAAAAGGAACCGCAATGCATGGCCTCAAGACTCGGCCTAATATGAGGGTTGTCTCAAGCTTTGGCGTTCTGCAGCAGCGGAGGTGGCGGTGCTGCTGTAGCTCGTGGATTTTGTAGTCTACCACAGAGGTTACACTGCTGTCACCGCGGTGCTGCTGTAGCTCGTAGACTTTGCAGTCTACCACAGAGGTTACACTGCTGTGAGATCGGTAGGCCCGAGCGAGCTTCGGAAAGAGAAATGTAGATAGAACAGATGTTCTCATCAACCGACTCCCTGGTCAGGATTTGATGGGTGCTGGACAAGAGCGAGCACAAGGGGCGAAGGTGCGCCTGTGTCTCGGCTCAACAACAAGACAACGAACAAGCATCAAACACAGCAGGTTCCGAGGGTCTTCGGGGTATTGGCCCGACTACCGGAAATTCGGGGTTCGGAACAAAAAAACGACTACAGTCTCGCCTGCCAAATTTTCTCCGCTACAACTCTGTGCTCATGTTCTCTTCTACGTACCATCTCTTCTTCCTGTATTATGTCTACGGAAGGCTAGTTGCTGCAGTCGCACCTATGGTAAACTGTGCCTGACTACACGTTGCAACAGTTTTTCTCGACAGGTTGATCTCGAACTGTGGAAGATTATTCACACTTATTTACTGCTCTGAGGAGGTCGTGACGCGTACATGTTGATTTTAGTGCGCTTTTAGCCGTTATTTGGCCTTTGTTTTAGGCTTTTTCCGTTGCCCGTTGTACACTACAAATGTGGGTGCGTCATCACTACAAATGTGGGGGAACCTAAGCACATCAGCATTGTATGGCACCTTTTTCGACGCTTGTTCAACAGATGACTGTGGTGTACGGCATCAACCTGCCTGCCGACAGATCACATGCTGCTGCAGAAATATAACATCCGATCCGTATATATATACGCCATGCATTTTACATATATATGTGCGTATGTTTCCTACAGCCCAAACCGTCCTTCGCACGTATGAATACTCGTCTGTATACCACGCCAGCGGTATGTCATCGTGGCAACTTGTGCAGCGGAATCGTCTTTCACCTCGAATCTCACCGCACATTTGTCCATTCAGATCATCAAACCCATCAATCCTCTATAAATATACTTGAAGTATATACGAAACGACAACACTTACTCCGCGCACAAACCTCCGCGCATGTGCCGCAAAGCTTCATATTTTTTCCGCACCCCCTCCCCGCCCCCCCCCCCGGTGTTTTGCCATCGGGGTTGGGTTTTCGTCGATTGGCAACGACGTTGTAAAACAAGCCGCCGCCCCCTGGACCCCCCCCTCGCAATCTAGACTTCAGTGGGTTGGCGCTGTTGGCAAAGCGCTGTAAAACACGCCACCCCAAATATAGCCCCCATAGTATGCGCTACCAAAGACGCGTGACGCATGGATGCGTGGAGTGAGGATTGCTTACGAAAACCTCACAGGTTGAGTGATGTAGGAGATTGCCGGACACATAGACGTGTTGAGTGATTATAGCTGTATACTGAAACCCCACGGAAAGGGGAGGTTTGAGATTGCCAGACACATAGACGGGTTGCGTGGGGATAGCTGCTGGAACCCCACGGGTTGAGTGATGTTGGAGTGCCGGACACATAGACGCGTTGAATGAGGATAGACACATATTGAACCTCACAGGTTGTTTGTATTGGAGATTGCGAGACACCTAGACGTGTTGTGTGAGGATAGCTGCATACTGAAACCTC